CTTCCCTCCCGCCCGGCCCCTCCTGTCGTCGCCCGCAGGTGCTCGGGCAGGCGATGCCCGGGGTGACCGCGACGATCGGGGGCCTCGCCGCGTCGCCCACGCACGAGGACGTCCCCGAGAGTCGGCGCCGTCGCCGTCGTCATCGACGTCGCCGTCAACGAAGGATTGTCGTCGTCGTCGTCGTCGTCGTCGCCAACGTCGTCGTCGTCGTCGCCGTCGTGGCCATCACCGTCGCCGTCGCCGTCGCCGTCACCGTCGCCGTGGGCGCCGTCTGCTGCTGCTACTGCTGCTGCTGATGATGAGGAGGAGGAGGAGATTGAGGAGGATGCTGCTGCTGGTGGTCATGATGCTGTTGTTGTTGTTGTTGTTGGTGATGCTGATGATGATGATGATGATATGATGATGATTGTGATGATGATCATGGTGATGATGATGTTGTTGATGATGATGATGATGATGATGATGATGATGATGATGATGATGGTGGTGGTGGTGGTGATGATGGTGCTGATGATGATGATGCTGATGATGATGCTGCTGATGATGATGATGCTGATGCTGCTGATGATGATGACGATGGTGCTACTGATGCTGATGATGCTGATGCTGCAGCTGCTGATGATGATGATGATGAGGAGGAGGAGGTTGAGGATGCTGCTGCTGATCCTGATGCTGTTGATGATGCTGCTGTTTGTGTTGCTGCTGCTGCTGCTGCTGCTGCTGCTGACAATGACGATGATGATGGTGATGGTGATGCTGATGACGCTTCTGATGATGATGATGCTCATGATGATGATGGTTATGATGATGATGATGATGCTCATGAATCTCATGAGAACGATGGTGATGATGCTGCTGCTGCTGATGGTGCTGCTGATGATTATGCTGCTGCTGTTGTTGTGGAAGGGAAGGGGGAGGAGGAGGAGGAGGAGGAGGAAGAGGAGGAGGAGGAGGAGGAGGAGGAGGAGGAGGCGTGCCCTACTTGCTTGTGAGGGCTGCGCTCGGCGGGGAGCGGCCGCGAGAGGCCTCCCCGGGGGGGCTCGTCCTCGGCCCTCCGCTCCGAGAGCCCTGCTCTGGGGACGGCTGCGCTTGGGCGGGCGGGGGGGGGCGAGGGGCGCAAGAGACGCGCCCGGCGCCGTCGTCGTTTTCGTCGTCGTCCTCCTCCTCCTCCTCATCCTCCTCCTCTCCTCCTCCTCCTCTCCCTCTCCCTCCGATCCTCCTCCTCCTCCATCCTCCTCCTCTCTCCTCCTCCTCCCTCCTCCTCCTCCTCCTCCTCCTCTCCCTCCTCCTCCTCCCCTCCCTTCCTCCTCCTCTCCTCTCCTCCCCTCCCCCTCCGATCCTCCTGCAGGTACCACCGTCCGCTCAGTAGCCGCCGCCGCCGCCGCCATCTGTGCCACCGCGCGGTCGGGGGCCGGCACAAGGCACCCCAGAAGACGTCCACGGCGATTCCTTCTTCCAAGGAGTCCTTCAGGGTGAGTTTCTTTGCTGCCGGATCCGTTTAGGGCGATTTCGCCGACGGTCGGACCATTTTGTTCAGCGCGCTGCGCCGCGACCGCTTTCCCATTTCCAGGCGCTAGCGTCCCAGGCCTTTCCGAGCCTCCCACCCCGCGGAGCATAGTGGCACGCCACCTGCTTGCAAGGCATAGCGTGTCGCCGGGGCCGCCGCTGCGACACGCTAAGCAAAGGTTCCTGACCCCACGTCTGCCCCTGCCCCATTTTTGCGCCCCCCTCGGCACGAGGCGCGCCTGGGTGCTGCAGCGCGTCCTTCTCCGCCTTCTCCTCGTCCCTTTGCGGTGCGCGGGCTTTAGCAAACGAAGCGCCGTGGCGTTACCTTCTCCGCCTCAGCCTTTCGTCCTCGTCGCCACTGTCGCGGTGCTTGTGCGGCTCCTGCTTCTGCTCGCTCCTCCTCCCCCAGCTCCTCTTTTGCTTCCCCTCTCTCTGCCCTTCTGGCGCGCCAGGACCTCCTGAGAGACACTCTGGAGTCGCTGATCTCGGCGGCGGACGAGGATGCAATGCCTCGGAAACGCCTGCCAGTCCAATTCCCCACTGCCCGTTACCCCCTCGCCGTCCACGAGCGATGCAGGGTTGATGAACAGGAGAGGTGCATATACAGACCAGACAGACACGGGGAGATTAGAGGCAGGGAGAGAGAGCGAAACATCTATATATATATAGAGAGAGAGAGAGAGAGAGAAAGAGCTGGTTATATATATATATGACATATGTACAAATACAGGTGTATATACATTTAGATATAGACACATATTTATACAATATTATGCCAGCTCGCTACGCTTCGCCGTCACCATCTTGGTCGCATAGCGCCAGTGAGGTGCGCTGCGACCGCCATTGCCGTCAATTGGGAATGGGGGAATTGGGCGGCGCGGTCCCAGAGCTTGTAGAGGTGGCGGGCGCCACGGGTCTGGAAGGTCCCCCGAAGGCTCTTGGGCGCACGGGGGTTGTATTGCTCATGTGTGTGACATGGTCACATGTCTCATCGAGTTTGAATGGCATGCGGGGCTCATCGGTTTCAACAGGAACGAAGAGCTTCCTGGGGTTCATGTTTCATCGGGCTTGGGCTTGAACTGGGCTCGAGCTGGATCTGCCTCCCCTGTTGTAGGGGCTGCGCCAACTACGCGTGGCAGGTAAGGACGGGACATGCGAGCATCTGATCAAGAAACATCTTCCCGCAAGCTGGGCCAGCGTTTCTCAACCGACTTGCTGGGAAGCTGGCCCAGCTTCTTGAGCACGTTCGCCTTCCAGCGTTAACAACAGAACTTGGCCCGGGTTTGCCTTAAGATATCTCCAGGCAGCTGGCCCAGAATTCTTAAATGATATGTTTCTTGATTGTAGTTTCGGTTGTATACCCCAATAGGGGTACGATCGAAGACGAAGATGGCGGGCACCGAGGGTTTGGGACCTTTACACGTGTTTGAGCGGCACGTGAGCAGGTAAGAACAAACAGACTTAAAATGATGGTTGTTGATCCCCCCCCTCCGGTGCACCTCCTGTGTGTGTCATGCATGTGCTCCTCCCAGGGTTCGCACGTTATCTTTTACAAGGGGAAGTCTTCCTCCCCAAATTGCGCCCTTGGACTTGCAAAAACAACGGCGCCCGCTTGATCTTTCCTAGCATTGTGTTTCAAAATCGCGCTCTCGCGCGAGACTTCCGTTCAATGTATGAAGGATTCGCGCTCTCGCGTGGGAATCCCCCACACTTTATTCGGGAGCCACGCCCTCGACGCCCAGGAATCGTGCTTTCGCTTTTGCTTTTCTCGCAATATACTCTGGAATCGAGCTGTCGCTCGTGACCTTCTCGCGCCTTCATGCAGGACCCACGCTTCAGCAGCCCGCGCGTTCGACCTGTCCGCCCGGGCCAGCCTTCCGGACCCGCCTGTTAGGGTCTGCCCGCCCGATCTCCTTGTTTGATTATGTCACGTGCTTTCTGCTCTTAACCCCCCTCCTGGTAATCTCTCTCGTGCTCCACCCTTCTGCCTCCCCCGTCCAGCCGCCCTCTCTTCCATGATTTTAGGGGCTGCACCGACTACACGTTGCAGGTGAGGAAGATATCCCCCCAAGAGGGTACGATCGAAGACGAAGAGGGTAGGCATCGAGGGTTTGACAGACACGTTGAGTGGCACGAGAGCAGCTAAGAGCGAGGAGTCTTAAATGCTTGTTGTTGTCGTCGTCCCAGCCCGCGACCCGACCGGCGATCCATTGGTGCTGGTCTCCGTTTTGAAGAGACAGCGCCCCGCGTTCCTCACTCCTTACTCCTCTTTCCTCGTCCTCATCCTCGCTCCTGCTATCCGTGCCTCTTCCCTCCGCATGTTTCTGTTTCGGCACTCCCCTCACACGTTTCGTGGCCCCATAGGGAGCTCCTCCGAGGGCCCCAGTGGCAGTGCTCGCATGCCAACACCGCACCCATGACGGCACAGCCCTCACACGTTTCATGGCCCCATCCACCGACGGCCCTAGTGGATGCGCTCCCAGGACACCGCCGCACCCGTGTTGGCACACCCCTCACACGCTTCGTGGCCCAATAGGAAGATCCACCGAAGGCCCCAGCGGCTGCGTTCGCATGGCACCACCGCGTCCGTTTCGGCACACCTCTCACACGCTTCGTGGCCCCAAAGGTCCCAATGGCTGCGCTCGCATGGCACCAGTACGCCCAGTTCGGCGCACCCCTCACACGTTTCGTGGCCCCATGGAGGGCTCCACAAAGGTCCCAATGGCTGCGCTCGCATGGCACCACTGCGCCCATTTCGGCGCACCACTCACACGCTTCCTGGCCCCATGCAGGGCTCCACAAAGGGCCCCAGTGGCTGCGCCCGCATGGCACCATCGCGCCCATGCCGGCACACCCCTCACGCGTTGCCCCATAGGAAGATCCACCGACGGCCCCAGCGGCTGCGCTCGCATGGCACCACCGCGCCCATGCCGGCACAAACCTCGCACGTTTCGTGGCCCCATAGGGAGCTCCACCGAAGGCTCCAGTGGCAGCACTGGCATGGCACCACCGCGTTCATGTCAGCACAAGCTTCACACGCCTCGCGGCCCCATCGGGAGCTCCACCGAAGGCCCGAGTGGCAGCGCCCGCATGGCACCGCACCCGTTTCGGCACACCCCTCGCACGTTTCATGGCCCCATACGGCGCTTGACCGAAGGCCCCAGCGGCAGCGCCTGCATGGTACTGCCGCGCTCATTTCGGCGCACCCCTCACACGTTTTGTGGCCCCAGAGGGAGCTCCACCGAAAGCAGTCGATACTCACAACGCGGTACTCACAATTGCATATGGTTGGATCTTGTGCCAGGATTAATTTTGATTTTGTCGTACCAGTGTCCCAGGCGGCTCCAAGAGATCCCCAAGAGCGCCCCAAGGCCGCCGAAGAGCATTCCACGAGGGCCCCTAGAAACCCGAGGTGGCCTCAAGACGGCCCAAGAGGCGCCCAAGACGTTTCAAAAGCGCTTCAAGGAAGCCCCCAAAGGCCCCCAAAAAGGACCCCCTAAGCGCCCCCCCGACTGGCCTTCCGATCGCCGTCGGCGCCAAGGTTGCCTCCTAAGCATTCAGGTCCCCAAGACGCCCCCGGAGTCCCCAGAGAAGCCTCCGAGAAGCTCCCAAGAGGCCCCAAGAGGCCCCCAATAAACGCCCAAGGGGCCCCCACGAGTCCCCCGAGGGCCCCCGTAGAGACTACATGATATTTCTGCACGTCTCAAATCGAAGACACCTCCATTCCAGAAGGCATACACACACCCTCCCCCTCACTCCTCCTCATCGTCTTTCTTCTCTTCCTCTTCCTGCCTCCTCCCCATCTCCCTCAACCACCCCTCCCTCCTCTCCCCTGCTCCTTCCTTCCTTGTCCCTTCCGCCTTCCTCCTCTCTCACTCTCCTGCTCTCCTTCATTTCCTGCTGCCTTCTCCTACCTCCACCCTCCTCCGTCTCTCTTTTCCCGTTCTCACTTCCCCTCCCTCTTTCCTCCTCCTCCATCCTTCCTGCTCCCTGCCTGCGTCTTCTTTTCTGGAAGTACCATGTGTTTCGAAAGTGGGGCTCGAAGATGGCCTCGGAGGCCCAAATAAGAGAGTTGCAACATTGCCCACGGATGGCCCATGACTGCCGCGAATGCCAAGCCTCAGTGCGACATCAGGCGCCTACGCGGGGGCTTCCGAGCCACTCTCCGACGCGCTAGGCGCTTAGCACCATGGCATGTCGAACGTGAGCGCGTGCGGAACGCGTGCGGTGGCTCTAGCATGGTAATGTTTACAGTTGTAAGCATTTACATCTCTCAGATTATGACAAATGTATATACGTAGATATGTTGTAGTGGCCTCCGGCCAGTGCCGCCGATCCGGGATGCTTCCGTTGCTGCCGGAAGCGCGCGATGGTGGTCATGACCGGCGACGACGGCGAGCGGTGAGGATGATGATGAGGATTGGGAATGGAGCCAACGGAGTAGGATGATGATGATGATGAGGAGGAGGAGGAGGAGGATCATGATGAGGTGGAGGGGGGTGGGGGGTGGGGGGGTGGGGGGGGGGGGCAGGAGTAGCAGGACGTTGAGGATGAGGAGGAGCAGAGGGAAGCGGGAAGTGGAAGAGGGGGAGGGGAGAAGGAGAAACATGACGAGGATGAGGAGATTTTTCGGCGGTTGTTGGAGATGTTCGGGGGTTGTTGGGAAGCCTCTTTGGGGCCAGGTGTTGGCCCTCTTTGGGTTGACAGCTCGCCGATTTGGCGCACTCTCTGAAAAGCTTTGTGCTAGAGCTGTCCGCGTGCGTCTTAGATGCGTTGTTTGAAACTCTCGGGGGCTTTCTAGGAGGCTTCAGGGGGCCTCTTCGGGGCCAGTCGGAAGCGTCCTGGGGCCTCTTCAGGCGTCTTGGGGGTTTCTGGGGGCCTGCTGGGGGTTTCTTGGGCCGTCTTCGGCACTTCTTCCGCCGTCCTGGCGCCCTCTCAGGCGCCTCTTGGGCCCGTCCTGGGGCCCTCTTGGGCCTTTTTTCCGAGGGCCGCCTGGGCCGCATTGGGCCCTTCTTGGGCCGTCCTGGAGCCCTGTTGGCGGCGTCTTGGGCCGTTTTGGGGCTCCCTTGAAGGCCCACGAGGCGAATATGTTAAAACCATATGTTTTCCGTCGGAAATGGGATATGTGTTTCCTCTTTGGGCCTTCATTGGGGGGGGGGGGGGGCCTTTTTTCAGGGCTTCTGATGGCATTTTGGGGGTTTTCGGAGCCGTCTTGGGGACATCTTGGGCGTCTTGTAGCTTGAGCGCGCCCGTTGTGTTACTAGGGGGATCGGGTTTTGAGCTGATTGCATGTCCCTTTTATTCCTTACTTCTTCCCTGCCCGTTAATTCTTCCCGTCGATAGTTTCGTATTCCTTCTAAGTGTCTCGTCTTCCCGTTAAGTGTCTCGTTTTCCCGTTAATTGTCTTGTCATGTATTCGCGCTAGTTGTGTTGTTTTCCCGCTAATTGTCTTGTGCCCCCTTTATCTGTTATTTTCGACTCCAAGGCCCCAGTGGGTGCGTTCGCATACAGGAGGAGACGGATGAGGGAGGAGGAGGAGGAGGAGGAGGAGGAAGAGGAGGAGAGATATCGTCGATAAGCCTGCCAAGTTCGGTCTCGAGGGACTCGTCAGCCTGGCGCCCGAGGGGGGCGGGGCCTGGATCCTCCTCGGGCCTCGGGCGGCCACAATCACAACGAATTGCCGGGAAGGCCCCCACCTCCCGGGGCCCCACCTCCTGGGACCTCCCAGGAAACTTTTCCCTCTAATGCCTGGACGGTAATTCCCGTGAGTTTGGGACCTTCTCCTCCTCCTCCTCTTCCTCCTCCTCCTCCTCCTCTCCCTCCACCTCTTCCGAGCCCTCTCCTCGGGACCCTGGGGACCCCGAGGGCCCGACGAGGCCCCCTGGTGAGGGCCCTCCTCAGCAGCTGGAGCAGGCGAGAGCTTCGAATGCCGAGCCCGTGCCTCCTCCCGTGCTTCCTCCCGTGCCTCCTCCCGTGGCGCCCCAGGGCTCTTGTAGGCCTTTGAGGTCCATCGGTGTGGTTTGCTTGTAGCCCCACCCCTTCTACGTGTAATATAGGAGTATAGGCTGACCGTGTAAGACCGAGTATGACTGACGCCCATAATCATCAGTTGGAACAGGCGGGTATTACAGGGAAGTTATGAGGAAATTAAAGGGGAAATGATTGGAATTAGGGAATGAGAAGGAAATTAGAGGGAAACAGGGAAGCTCAAACAGGGAACCATCGGCAACTCAAAACCCGATCCCCCTTGTAACACAACGGGCGCGCTCAACTTGTAGTGATCATTCGGCGACTCGGGGCCCTCTTGGCCCATGTCGGGGCCCTCCTGGGCGAGGAGGCTGTCCCGGAATGAACTGGAATTCAGATTCCGCCCCGGGGATTAGATCATCCCCCCCTTTCCCCCTACCCCGGTAGAGCCACCCTGGCACCCACGCCCCAGCAGAGCTGAAGCTCAGGAATTGAGGCTCAGGGTTTTTGGAACTCACACGCCGGATCGGCATATATAATCAGAGAGAACATGATACAATGACGGAGAGATATAACACATATAACAATATATGTATGTATGGATGGTACCTATGTGTATAGGCACATAGATATACGCAGTTGCATTACGTATAGGTGTAGTTGGGATAGCCACATGTATACATTTATACATACACATATGTCTGTGAATATACATACATATTAGCAGATACGCTTGCACATAGAGAACGTTATATGCAGTGTGTACATAAATATGGGGCATCGGCCCGTCCGCAGATGCACCACGGACATTCCTGATTCTCTAGCGGCCCGAGAGACCTACAGAAGCTTCAAGACACCCTCGGACCCGAACGGTTCGACGCAGGGCGTGCCTCGAGATGTCTTGAGGCACGGGTTCTTAGCTATTGTACATACCCCCCCTGCGGCCGCCCGCTCTGTCCTTCCTCTTGCGTGCTGGCACATTCGCTACAATGGTGCCCCCGTTTAGTAACCTTCTTCCGCCAGCGCAGACGGCCCCTGCCTAGCCGCCGGCGCAAAACAATGTTGTACATCTCGAGGTAGAGATATGTGTCTATGTCCATGCGTAGGATTGTGCATGCGGTTTACGTGCACGGTTTGTTGACCGGCACTGACAGTATTAAAGTATGTGTGCAGTTGTGCGTGTATACATGCAACCAGGTATATGTCAGCGCGTACACAAGGCATGCTCATGTGCTTGCTGGAAGTTCCGCCAACGCAGCAACGCAGCTTTTCTGGTGGCGACTCGACGCGATCCTCCAGCAATCGTGCACAGTAACGTAACGTTCGTCCGTTTTTCTTTGTAGACGGAGTGCCTCAATGTGTGAGCAAGGCAATATCTGCATGGTCGAGAAGGCTGTCACATGTGGCAGCTGCCTTCGGCAGGCGCGGATGACTGTAGAATGTGTTGATTATGTACCCCGTCCTTGGAGAAGGTCCCACCATCTTTGAGGATGAGATGAGGATGAACAATATGAGACGGGGGGAAGGATATATATATATATACATATGTCTAGACAGACAGAGTAGAGGAACCCGAGTTCTTCAAGGACCACGACTTGCAGAACCTCTGGCCTCTACTGGTGCAGCTGTGCTCCGCCAGGCACTTCGCCGACGACGACGTCCGGCACAGCGCCATGGAGGCGGCCATGTCTATCGTCACTGGCAACTTCGAGGACTTCTGCAAGCCAGAGGGCCAGCCGTTCCTGGAGAAGATCATTGCTCTGAACATCGAGTGGATGTTCGACGTGGAGCAGGACGTCGACGCCTGGACGGCGCAGGCTGACGCACCCGAAGAGGACGACGAAATAGATGGCGACACCGTCCAGCTGGGGGAAGAAAACCTCGACCGCCTGGCCGAGAAGGCCTCCGACGTGGAGCAGTGCGAGGACGTCTTCCTGCCAGTGCTCTTCAAAGCGATCCGCGTCCTCATGGGCGCCCCAGACGTCACGTGGCAGCACTCTCGCGCGGCCGTCATGGCGGTGTCGCAGGTGGTGGAGCACATCGAAGACGAGTCCTGGGTCGACCAGTGCGTCCACTTCATCGCAGAGCGGTTGGCGCACGTCCACCCGCGGGTGCGCTTCGCCGCCTTCCAGGCCGTTGGGCAGGTGGCGTATGACCAGGAGCCCTACGTGCAGGACAGCCACCACGAGTTGCTGCTCGCTGCCATCGTGACTGGCCTCAACGACGTCAACGTCCGGGTGGCCACGAACGCTGCCAATGCGTTCGTCAGTTTCGGAGAGGAGCTCGACCGGGACGCACTGGAGCCCCACATCGACGAGCTCATGGGCCGCCTGTTCGATCGCTTGAAGCAGGCTCAGACGCGGTCGATGCAGGAGCAGGCCCTGGCCGCCATAGCGATGGTGGGCGAGATTGCCGAGGATCTGTTTGAGCCCTACTACAAACATGTCATGCCTGAGCTGAAGGCGATCATCGCGAGGGCCTCCAGCGACGACGAGCGCACCATTCGGGGGAAGGCATTCGAGTGCGTCAGTCTGATAGGCGACGCGGTCGGCAAGGATGTCTTTCTGCCGGACGCGCAGGAGGTCATGCAGACGATGGCCACTGCCATGCAGAAGGGCTTCGCGGCAGACGACACCACGCGCGAGTATGTCCACGAAGCGGCCGGCCGCATCGCGACGACTCTGAAACGCGAGTTCAAGCCGTACGTCCCAGCCCTGCTGCCGAGCGTGTTCGCCGTCCTGGCGCAGCGCCCCAAGGAGGTCGACGTGGACAGCGATGACGACGACGAGAAGGCGGACATGAGCCTCCGCATGGTCGGCGAGAAAGTCCTGGGCCTCAAGACGGCCGTTCTGGACGAGATGCAGGAGTCCATGTCGCTGATCGGCACGCTGATCGAGGCGCTGGAGGACGACTACTGCGAGTTCCTGCCGATCACCTGCCAGGCCCGATCGTAGGTCGCATGCGCGCTGCTTTGGTTGGTGTTGCATCGGCGCGAGTTGTAATCACGCTAGACCGATCGTAGTAGCGCTACGCGCGCTAAGCACGTACATACTCTGCGTTCGGTAATAAATGGGGCGGGGGGGGGGCCCGATAGGGGTCAACCTCGCGTCGTCGGCGCACCGTGCAGCGTGTTGGAGTGCCCCCGGCCCGCGGTGATTGTCCGCATCGGGGGTCGGTTCGGTTGTCGAGGGGGGGTGGCGCCCCCTGGCTCTTACTATGGGGCACGGAGTGTTTCTTCCTAGTTAGCTCTTCGCCCTTTACCGCCCTCCGCGGCCCCCCTCTTTGTTCCCACCTCTGGCGCCAGATTTGCGACCTTGTAGCACGGCTTGCCGCTTCGACCGCGCTGAGCGTCTGATTAAGGTCTTACGTTGTTTGTGTAGAGATTCCTGGAGCCCTTGGGTTCCTTGGTCTTGTTTTTTTGGTTCTTTGGTCTTGATTATTTGTTGCCTTCCTCGGGGTCCTTGGTCTTGTTTTCCTGGTTCCTTGGTTCCATGGTTCCCTGGTCTTGGTTCATCGGTTCCTTGGTCGTGGTTCCTTGATTCCTTGGTCTTGGCTCCTGGATTCCTTGGTCGTGGTTCCTTGGTATCTTGGGGGTCTTGGTCACTGGCCTCATTGGTCTTGGTTCCTTGGCTCCTTGGGCTCAGTTTCTTGGTTCCTTGGTCTTGTTTCCCTCCTGCCTCGCCACAGCATGTACAGCAACGTCACCCCATGCCAAGCATCACCAGGCCATGCCAAGCCATGCCAAGCGATGCAGGATGCCAAGCAACGCCAAGCAGTGCCACGCAGCGCGCCCCTGCAGTAGTAAGCATTCTCCTACTTTGGGTCGCGACGGGTCGTGCTTCAAACTTCTTCTGCCAGGCCCTGTCGCCGCTGCTGGACTTCCCCCTCTCGAGCGGGCTGAGGGAGGCTGCGTTCAAGACCTGGGAGAGCCTCACAGAGTGCACCAGGAGCGCGGTCGAGGCCTCGAAGTGCGACCGCGGGTCCCTCTGCGAGCTGGTGCGGAAGTTCCTGGAGGCCCTGCTGGTGCAGATGGCGAAGTGCCCGGAGTCCAAGGACCTGGGGGCCGGCTGGGAGCTGTGAGGTGGCCCAGCACTGGTTCCGGCCAGCAGAATGGGGGGAAGAAAGTGGCCCACTCGTCGCCACGGCGGAGCGCGGCTAGATTAGGGGCCACATGCGAACCCTACTCCTACCCCCCACGATTTCTGAGGGGGAGGGTGGGGTCCGTTTCGTTCGGGAGCTCCCGAGCGAAGTGAACCCCACCTCAGAAATCGTGAGGGGTAGGGGTAGGGTTCGCATGTGGCCCCCTAATCGATATCAGTTCCGATCCTGGGATGGGGTCCCTTGAATTTGGAGCCCATGTGCCCTCGCCCCCCCTCGCAGATGTTCTCTGGGCCTGTCCAGCTCAGACCCCCCGGCCGCCTCCAGCCAAGGACCTCGACGAGGAGCTCCTGGGCGCCCTGCAGGCGGAGGCGACCGGGATCGGTGGCGTGATTCGGAAGGCTGGGCCGGGCGTGCTGGCGAAGGCGGACGTCGACGCGCTGGTGAAGGCGCTCATGCAGCTGCTGCTGCGCGTGCACGGGGACGACGAGGCAGAGCCGGACACCTCCATGGGCATGCGGCACCGCAAGGGCAAGGGGGCGGCCGCGGCCGCGGACGACGACGAGGAGAACGAGGAGTCGGACGCCGAAGACGAGCCCGTGGCCACGCGCCAGTCCGTGCGTTACTGCCTCGTGGATGTGGCTGGCGCGCTCATGAAGACGTCCCCTGCGGAGTTCGCCGAGGTGGGCTTGAAGCCCTTCCTAGACCTCATCCAGAAGCTTCTTCAGCAGGGCGTTCCCGACGCCGAGCGCAGCCTCGCGCTCTACCTGGCGGAGGACGTGGTGGAGTATTTGGGCGAGGCCATCAGAGAACAACAGCAGCAAAAACAACAGCCACAACGACAACAGCAACTATCATTCAAGATTGTTCGCTCTTATCTGCTCGCGTGCCGTTCACCACGTACATCCCCAACCCTCGATACCCGCCCTCTTCGTCTTCGATCGGGGACGAGAGGACGGATGGAAGGAAGGGACAAGGGGCAGGCGGGTTGTTGAAGCATGCGTCTTGCATGAGTCGCGAGGAAGTCTCGAGCCATAGCGCGATTCCCAAAGTAACCGGAGGAAATCCAAAGCGTGAGCGTTGTCGAGGGCGCGGCGTCTGAATCAATGGCGAGGAAGTCCCGAGCGAGAGCGCGATTTGGGAATCAATTGCGAGGAAGTATCAGGCTGAAGCCGTTGTTGTTGTTGTTGTTGTTGTTGTTGCTGCTGCTGTTGAATTTTCATATGTGAAGAATGATTATCGTTGATCCCCCCTCACCGGTGCATATCGTATTTTCTGAATCAAAGTGTGCACGTCGACGCTCGCATCCTGTTTTTCCACATGTTTCGTGGGGTTATGTTTTTCTTCCCTGCCGCGGCGCACCCGCGTCTCCTCACACCTCCCCTCCTCCCTCTTCTTCCTCTCCTCACCCGCGCTCGACACATGCACGGCAAATACAGGACACACGCGTCTACATAAAGCCGCACGCATGCACACATTCGCACACAACACACACCATACAACGCTAGTGCGCGCCTGGCGTGTTCACTGCATCACACATCCACGACGTGTGCGCAACATAGTGGGCACCCACATGAGACACGTCCCGATATGGCCGCCATGCGCCACGGTCGTCCAGGCATAGCAGGCGTGGCACTTCCTCGGCACCAGAGAGGGTGCGCTGGGGGTGGGGGCCCTATCCGTTTCGGGCTCGCAATGCGTGGCAGGCGTGGCACTTCCTCGACACCAGAGGGGATGCGCTGGGGGTGGGGGCCCTATGCGTTTCGGGCTCGCAATGCGTGGCAGGCGTGGCACTTCCTCGACACCAGAGGGGGTGCGCTGGGGGTGGGGGCCCTATGCGTTTCGGGCTCGCAAAGCGTGGCAGGCGTGGCACGTCCTCGACACCAGAGGGGGTGCGCTGGGGGTGGGGGCCCTATGCGTTTCGGGCTCGCAAAGCGTGGCAGGCGTGGCACTTCCTCGACACCAGAGGGGTGCGCTGGGGGTGGGGGCCCTATGCGTTTCGGGCTCGCAAAGCGTGGCAGGCGTGGCACTTCCTCGACACCAGAGGGGGTGCTGGGGGTGGGGGCCCTATGCGGATGCGTTTCGGGCTCGCAACGCGTGGCAGGCGTGGCACTTCCTCGACACCAGTGGGGGTGCGCTGGGGGTGGGGGGCCTATCGTTTCGGGCTCGCAAAGCGTGGCAGGCGTGGCACTTCCTCGACACCGGAGGGGGTGCGCTGGGGGTGGGGGCCCTATGCGTTTCGGGCTCGCAACGCGTAGCAGGCGTGGCACTTCCTCGACACCAGAGGGGGTGCGCTGGGGGTGGGGGCCCTATGCGTTTCGGGCTCGCAAAGCGTGGCAGGCGTGGCACTTCCTCGACACCAGAGGGGGTGCGCTGGGGGTGGGGGCCCTATGCGTTTCGGGCTCGCAAAGCGTGGCAGGCGTGGCACTTCCTCGACACCAGAGGGGGTGCGCTGGGGGTGGGGGCCCTATGCGTTTCGGGCTCGCAAAGCGTGGCAGGCGTGGCACTTCCTCGACACCAGAGGGGGTGCGCTGGGGGTGGGGGCCCTATGCGTTTCGGGCTCGCAAAGCGTGGCAGGCGTGGCACTTCCTCTGCGCGCAGCGTGGCAGTGGCACTTCCTCGACACCAGAGGGGGTGGGGGCGCTGTTTCGGGCTCGCAACGCGTGGCAGGCGTGGCACTTCCTCGACACCAGAGGGGGTGCGCTGGGGGTGGGGGCCCTATGCGTTTCGGGCTCGCAAAGCGCGGCAGGCGTGGCACTTCCTCGACACCAGAGGGGGTGCGCTGGGGGTGGGGGCCCTATGCGTTTCGGGCTCGCAAAGCGTGGCAGGCGTGGCACTTCGACGACGACGACGACGTCGACGACGACGACGACGACGACGACGACGACGATGACCACGAGTGCGGCGACGAGTACGACGAGCACTACGAGTACAGCGAGTACGACGACAACGAGTGCGACGACGAGTGCGACGAGCACGACGACGAATGCGAAGACGAGTACGATGGCGAGGTACGACGACGAGTACGATGACGAATAAGACGATAGAACGGCAACGAGTACGACGACGAGTACGACGAGTACGACGACGAGTACGACAAGTACGACGACGATTCGCGACGAAGGTTTAGAACGCAGGATTGCGCATAGATGATAATGACAAGCAAACGCATAATATAAAAAATCAGTAGGTGGGGTTTCTCGGTAGCGTAATTTGAGTAATTTGACAGGGAAAATATTCGTACTCAAATTGTGCCCCGGGCCCCCCGGATTACAACAACAACTGCTCCCGCTTGAGACTTCCTCCGGATTTACTCAGGACCCCAGCTCTCGCATGAGACTTCCTCACAATTTACTCAGGGTCGGTGTTCCCGCTTATGATATCCTCGCAATTTAGTCAGGACCCCCGCTCCCATCTGAGACTTCCACAATATTTACTCAGGAAAGGCGCTCCCGCTTGAGACTTCCTCGCAATTGAGCAAAGATTTCCTTGCAATTTAATCAAAACCCCCGCTCCCGCCAGAGAACCCTTCACATGTTATTCAGGAATTGCGATATCGCTTGTGAGCTCTATGCAATTTATTCAGAAATCACGTTTTCGACGCTCAGGAAACACGTTGCGCCAAGAACGCCGTCACAATTTACTTGGGAATCGCGCTCTCGCCATACTCAGGCATCCCGCTTGAATGTCCCACCCGCCCGACCCGCCCGTCAAGGGATCGCCCGCCCGTCGTGGGCTCCCGCCCGAGACTTCCTTCAGGAACGGCGCTTTCGCTTAGGATTTCCTCGAACATTCACGCTCTTACCTTCCTGCTCCTCCTCCCTCTCCCTCCTCCCTCCTCCCTCCTCTCCTCCCTTCTCTCTCCCTCCTCTCCTCCCTCATCCTTAAGCCTCTCTGCCCTATCCCCTCTCCCTCCTCTCCCGCTTCCCTTTTCTGTCCCCTCTCCTGCCTCCTCCCTCCCTCTTTCTTTTTGTTTTGTTTGTTTTCTCTCTCTCTCTCTCTCTCTCTCCCCTCTCTCTCTTTCTCTACCTCTCTTGTCTGTCTTTTTTTTTTTTGTTTTGTGTGTGTGTGTGTGTGTGCTTCTCTCTCTGTCTCCGCCTCTAATTAATCAGCGGCCCCCCTCTTCGCTCCTTCTCTCCTGGCGTTGTTCCCCTTCCTTCGTCCCTCCCCCTCCCTTCCTCCCACTCTCCCTCGTTCCCCCCCTCTTTTTGCAGGGCCCATACAACTCCCAATGGCGGGCACATGCACGCCCACGAAGGATTGTCCGCCCGTTCAGGTTTGCCCGCCTGTCTAAGCCCGCCGCCCCCCGCAAAGAGAAAGAATCTTCCCACAGGGGGTGCGATCGAAGACAATTACGCTACCGAGGAACCCCACATACTTGTTTTATGTCACGTGTGTTCACACATCATGTCACGTCTCGCTTCGCCATCCTGACGAGAGACTGACCAGACCAGCCAGATCAGCCAGACCAGCCAGACTGACCAGTGGCGTCGAGGAAATGCCACGCCTGCCACGCCCTGGGAGCTTGCAGCGCACCCCTCCGGTGTCGAGAAAGTGCCACGCCTGCTAGGCCGTGCGACATTGGCGCGTATAGGGACCGCGGTGGGCCCCCACCCCCAGCGCACCCCCTGTGGCGTCGAGGAAACGCCACGCCTGCCAGGCCCTGCGGCATTGGCGCGTATAGAGACCTCGGTGGGCCCCCACCCCCAGCGCACCCCCTGTGGCGTCGAGGAAATGCCACGCCTGCCAGGCCCTGCGGCATTGGCGCGTATGGAGACCGCGGTGGGCCCCCACCCCCAGCGCACCCCCTGTGGCGTCGAGGAAACGCCACTCCTGCTAGGCCCTGCGACATTGGCGCGTATAGAGACCGCGGTGGGCCCCCACCCCCAGCGCACCCCCTTTTGGCGTCGAGGACGTGCCACGCCTGCTAGGCCCTGCGACATTGGCGCGTATAGAGACCGCGGTGGGCCCGCATCCCCAGCGCACCCCCTGTGGCGTCGAGAAAGTGCCACGCCAGCTAGGCCCTGCGACATTGGCGCGCGGGCGCCCGTGCATCCATCGGCGGCCTCCTCGGCTGTGCTGTGCCGTGCTGCTGTGCGGTGAGCTGTGCTGTGCTGTGCCGTGCTGCGGTGAGCTGTGCTGTGCTTAGCTGAGCTGAGCTGAGCTGAGCTGAGCTGTGCTCAGCTGTGCCGTGCCCAGCTGAGCTGAGCTGAACTGTGCTGAGCAGTGCTGTGAGGAGGAGGATGGGGAAGAGTGAAGTGAGTGTCGCGGGTGTGTCGCGGGTGCGGCGCGGCAGGGAAGAAAACCATAACCCCACGAAACATGTGGGGAAAAAGGGCGGGTATCGAGGGTGTGGGGAACTCGTTTTGAGTGACACACGGGCAAGTAAGAGCGAACAGTCTTATAATGTGTGTTGTTGTTGGTGTTGTTGGTGTTGTTGGTGCTATTGTTGTTTCTGCTGTTGTTGTTGTCGTTCGGGCCCCAACCACCCACTTTGGTGACCCTTCACTTTCCCTTGTAAGAAACCGGGTGCGAGCCCCGGGAAAAGCATTTTGAGTGACAAATGCACTGGTGATTGGGGGGCGGGATCAAGTATGATTCTTCTCTAGAAAGTAACAATTTAACAACAGCAACATCGCCACCACCACCACCACCACCAACAACAACAGCAACATCATCAACCATAGCAACAGCAGCGACAGCAACAGCAACAGCCAGAATAGCAGCGCCAACATCAACAATATCAACCTCAACAACAACAGCAACACCACTTACAACAACAACAGCAGCAACAACAACATCAACAACAACAACGACAACAACAACAGCATCAACAACAGCAACAGCAGCAAACACAGCAACACCAATACGGGAGCATGGACTTTAGGAGGTCCGCGCGGATTTCTCGGGTCGGCTCTGGGCCCCCTTCCAAAACCCTGGGCGGCGCCTCTGGCGCCGCCCCCCGTGCGCTCCGAGGACCGGCGCCGACCCGAGAACTTCGCGCCGATCGGAGCTCCGAAGGCTGATGTTTGTGCAGTTTGTCTTTGTTTTTCCGCCACAGACCCTGATTCCAGGAGTCGGGCGACGCCAACCGAAGCCTCATCCATCCTGGCCGGGTCCATCCTGGGCCCAGGATCGGTGTATACGCCTCGCTGGCCAGGCCAGCTGGGCTTCGGCACTGATCCTGGGCCCACAATGGACCCAGCCAGGATGGGTAAGGTGGTCAGTTGATGTCGCCCAGCGGAGGTCTGCGGAGGTCCCAGGAGATTCCCAGAAGGCCCTGGGGAGCCTTCCCAGGTCCCAGCAGTCCCGAAAAGGGTTTAAAACAATGAAGCAGTTGCCGAGCACGCCCAAACAGCTCTCTCCTCGATTCCCGAGGGGCGAGGACTGAACTTTCGCGGGCTTCTTCTCCACCCCTCATCACTACCTACCAGGGGCTGCTGACCCATGGTAGCGTTTTGCTGGGCGCGGTCGGCGCTTCGCACAGCTAATCGCCACCATACGGTAGAGGGAATCAATTTCTGAACACTCTCCCTCCCTCCAAAACTCAAAGTTGGCTCGCGCTGGGAAGACTGGCGGTCGGGGTGCAATTCATCAGACCCACCGCCAACTGAGCATTGGGGGGAGGGGGAGGCGTTGACAGATGAATGTGGCATGATGTTCGCTATGTTTTGCCGAGGCATGTAGGTCAGCCGCCCCTGGCCAGTGGTCGTGAAAAGGTGTCGGGCGACGAGACCTACTCACATCCGCCGCCCCTGGCCAGGCCCATCCTGAGCCCAGGCTCGTCGTACGTGTGCCTCCCTGGCCCAGCCAGGGGTGCTTACAGCGGGGGGCCATGACAAGACACACCCTACGTTTCGTCAGGGTCACCTGGGTTTCTTTGGCTGGCGTTCGGCGCGGAAGGTCGCCGCAATCTCGAAGAAATTGCAAATGCCAGGGCACCCTGGGTTTCATGGGCGTCGGTCAGTTTCGGGGCGCGCGCCCGAACCTCCAAGAAGCTTCCGGGCATTCGGGGTGCCTTGGGTTTCTTCGCCCGGGCCCTGGACGGTCCTGGCCAAGGGCGGTGCATCTGTACAGAGACCTCGCCGCCCCAGAGTGGGCCCGCCCCAGACATCCGGCTGCTCCAACTTTTTCGAGGCGTGGGCCCCGGAGGTCCGCTTCCCTGGCGGCTGTTCGCCCCGAGTCGCTCTTCGACGCTCCCGAGGCCCCGCGAGGGCCCCCGGAGGCCGCAAGCGGCCCAAGACCGCCCGCCCCAATGCTTCCGCAGCGTCGGATCTCCGGGGCCGACCTCGGCAGGCCAGCGTCCCCTTCTGGCACCTCTTCATGGAGCAGGCCTGCCACGCCGGGGGGGGGGGGGGGAGATAGAGGGGGAGGGAGGGAGGGAGGGAGGGAGGGAGGGGAGAGCGAGGATTGGATTGCGACGCCGATGAAGCCGATGCCTGTCAGCAAAGAGATCTAGGAAGGGGGAGGGGAGGGGAGGGAGGGATGGAGGGAGGGAGGAGGCGGAGGAGGCGGAGGAGGAGGAGGAGGAGGGGGAGGAGGAGGAGGAGAAGGAGGAGGGCGTGGAGCAGGCCTGCCACGCCGTCACCGACAAGAGCCCGGTGGTGCGCCAGTACGCCTGCGGTGTCATCGGCGCGGGCTCCCGGCTGCCCGCCTTCGCGCCCGCGGCGCGGGCCGCGGCGGGGCAGCTGGGGCGGCTGATCCAGAAGCACGGCGAGCGCCACAGGCCTGGGCGGCGAGAGCAGGAGGAGGAGGATGAGGAGGAGGAGCAGGAGGAGGAGGAGGAGGAGGAGGAGGAGGAGGAGGAGGGGGAGGAGGGGAGGAGGGAAGGAGGAGGAGGAGGAGGAGGAGGAGGAGGAGGAGGAGGAGGAGGAGGAGCAGGAGGAGAGAGGAGGAGGAGGAGGAGGAGGAGGAGGGAGGAGGAGGAGGAGGGGGAGGGGGAGGAGGAGGGGGAGGAGGAGGAGGAGGAGGAGGAGGAGGAGGAGGAGGAGGAGGAGGAGGAGGAGAGGAGGAGGAGGAGGAGGAGGATGAGGGAGGAGGAGGAGGAGGAGGAGGAGGAGGTACGGGCTCCGCAATGTGGACACCGCCCTTTAGTTAGGCAGGAGGATGAGGAGGAGGAGGAGGAGGAGGAGGAGGAGGAGGGGGAGGAGGAGGAGGAGGAGGAGGAGGAGGAGGAGGAGGAGGCTCAAGCCATTGCCTTCTCGGTCAGGTCCGAGGAGCTGGGGCCCAAGGCAAGTTCTTTTTCTTTCGCGCGCCCAGCAGGCACGCTCCAGCCCAGCACCAGAGATCCAGGCCAACCATGACCTGGGGCAATTGGCACAATAATGAACGCCAGACCAAGCAGCGCCCATACGTGGTGTGCGAGAGTTGCGGCGCGTGGCAGTTCACGTCCAAAGCCACGAAGCGGCTCTGGTGCAAGTGCGGGCAGCCCGATCCCCTGCACACGCATCGAGGCAGCGACCGCGAGAACCGCGGCGGTGTTATCACAGGAGACGGGACGGGAGGTGCAGCGGCTCCCGACCCAGACATGCGATCCATGCTCGACGCGATCCTCAGCGTGCTTTCCGCGGAGCAGAAGGCCCAGCTCGGAGGCGCGGTGGACTCAGCGGCGGCGCTCGTGGCGGTCAAGCAACCAGCCCCGGCCGCTGCCGCCATCACCGCGCTCCAGCTGCTACGGCAGCACGAGAAGAGCGACCAGGAGCTCGGGACGGAGTTCTGCAAAATACGGGATGAGCGTCGACGAGTACGACAATAACGGGATCAGGCACAGCAGGCACTCGCCGAAACCCGCCAGCGTTGCGAGCAGGCCAGCGAGGAGGCCACCGCGCAGTGGAGGCCGGCTACAGCAGCTAGCACGGCTGATAGTGACAATGGGAGTGGCGATGATGGGCACCAGCCAGGACATCCCGACCAGCCACGAGGCCTGCAGCCTCAACGCCCTCCAGTGCCAGAGATACCCCAAGGCGTACGCGACGCCATCAGCAGCCCCCAGGGGGACGCAGGCATGCAGGCCAAGACGTTCCTCGAGCAGCTCCAGGCGGCAGCGGCGCCCCCACCTGTGCAGCGCGCGGGGCGTGGGGCAAGCCGCGCAGGCGGCGGAGCAGTGCGCCGCGGGGCCAGCGACTCAGGGCGCCGCTCGCCTGGAAGGCGCAGCCGCAGCGGCGGCAGGGTCAATGGGGGGGCTGCCAAGGAGGAGCACTCTTGAGGTACTCCAGGCGCGGGCCGACAGCCCGACAGGCAGCCCCCCCAGCAGGACAGACAAGAGGGCAGACCCAAGGGAAGATCTGCCAGTTTCACAGTTGGAGTTCACCAGGTTAAACCCACACCATAGTGACGATGTTATCAGTCTCACAAGCTCAGCTCAGCCAGCTCTGATGATCCGGGCAGTTTTGACCAGCGAGAGCAAGCGGCTTTCAGTGCCGTGGGAGATGCACGACGCATATATTCGTCCTCGCCAGGTTCGCCTGCCTCCCTCGAGAAGCTGACCATCTACCTTGCCAACATCACCAGTTGACGCAAGCGTGCTCGAGACTACGCCCAGGCAGACGACTTCCAGAAGCCGCGCATCCTCCTGTTCGGGGAGATGCATGTGCCACAGCCTCGATGACGAGAGATCCTAAAGTTGATGCGTGAACATGGTTATCGCTCTTATCTTTGTCCACCGACCCAGACATCAAGGCATGGGACGCATGGGTGAGTTGGTGCATCCGTGCAGCGCCAACTCTACAGCCACGCCAGGTTTCTCGGCAGCAAAGGCAGAGCGGCCTCACTCTATCGAGGCCAAGGCTGGACAGCCTGCCTGCTAAGACTGCATGGCCAGAGCAGCCGGATCATCTCAGTCGACCCCCAGAGTGACGTAGGACAAAATTATAATCTTCGGTGTGGCTGCGAGATCGCCACGTTCATACGCGCCCACAAGCTCCCGTCTATCATAAGGGGGGGAGGGGGGCTGGAACATGACGGGGGAGGATCTCATGGAGGGGGCATCTGGGTAAAGAGCATGGGCGGGATCCTCTTGCAGCCCCGGGTCCTGTCCACGTGTAATGGGAGAGTCATCGATCACCTTATCGTACCCTCAGGTTCCAAGGGGCTCCTGAAGTTCACGCCAGATGAAAAAAGCCTCTGGAGGCCGCATCTTAGGTTGCGAGGGGAATTCCAGGTGAGAGTTCTCAGCGAGACCGGCACGCGCCCCAAGGAGGCACCATTAAGTACCAGCCCTGGAGCAGCCCCGAGGCCCTGGGAGGAACTCTACATCGAAGCCCCCCAGAAGATCCCCGAGGCGCCGAAGGCGCATCATCCTGTTTCAGAGGCCCACCAGGATCTTAACCTCAGCCGCAAGCTCGCAGTTCCCTCGCAGGCCCTGGAATGGCGGTGCCCAGTGCCGCGCGACAGCCAGGCGCAGAGCCGAAGCCAACCTCTTCAGGTAGAAGCGCGGGCAGCTTTTCAAGCTTACCCGCCAGGGCAGCGATTGGGGCCCAGAGAGTCGACGGTGGAGCACCATCCAGCAGCGAGTTCGCGAACGGGACCATGCCTTAAGAAAGCAGGCCGAAGCTGAAGCCCCCAGCGCAACCCAGCCCCGGAAAGTCCCAGGGTTAGGCCCGCGTCGAGCCGAAGCACAGTGGATCCACAAAGTCATCCAGAGAGGCGCCCGCGACCTCGATTGGGACTCCGACCTAGAGGCCGAAAAGCAGCGATTGACGTGGAAGGCACTTCGCGCAGCTTCCATCTGCGAGTGCCACGACGCGCTGGAGGCCGCGTGGCAGGGATCCACCGACTGGCTATAGACCAGCCTCCAACGAGCTTTCACCCGCGAGGCTGAGATAGAGGTCAGCCCAGATGTGGCAGACAACTTCATCTTGGAGGCCCGTCCAGATCCTGGGGGCCAAATGGAAGTTCCGGGGGCAGTGCTGGGAGCCTCGGCAGGTCCGAGCTAGCAGTCCAGTCTCGGAGCCCTGGATCCAGGAGATAAGGGGGGGGGGGAAAGGGGGGGGGAAGGGGGGGGGGGGGGGGACAGGGCCCCAGAGGAAGATTGGAAGGAGCATAGGGTGGTCAAGGGGATCAGGGCCTTTCCAGGACATTCGGCCACAGGGGTTGACCAGCGGCGAGTTCAGGACTTCAGTCGGTTTCCAGAGGCAGGCCTAGCGCAGCTCACCGCCATCCTTAACAGCATCGAGAGGCAGCAGGCGCTGTCCATCCAGTGCGTAGGGAACTGTGTCGCGCTCAAGCCCGACACGGTGGGCTCGGACAGACCGATCACGCTCGCTGCCTCGCTCTACCGCTTGATCATTCGGCTTCGGACGGGGGAGGATTGGGGCATGGGGGCTCGCCGAGGCAGGACATTGGGACGCAGCAGCCAAAGGATCCAGTTGTCTGAGAGCAGGCATCGTGGCCCACGTTGCGTTAAGAGCCTCCCACCACGGTCCTCGGCTTTGACGGCTGCGCGAGGCAGGCGTCGGGCCCGGCGGTTCGGTCGCGCCGCCTGAACGGCCGCTTCCACCTCGTCAACAGAAGAGGCGCCCCCCGTCTCCTCCGCGGTCTCTTGGAGGGCCTCCGCGCGGATCCGTCGGCCTCCTCGGCCACCGCCGCGCCCGCGTGCGGCGGCGGGGGGCCAGGTGCCAGGCCGCGATTTTGCACGTCCTCGAGGAGGGCGCCCAGGGTGGCAGCAGGCCCCAGGCGGCCCCCAGTGCCAGGGTCCGTCAGCGCGAAGCGCGGGCTGCAGCGGCGCGCGCTGGCTCAGGAGGCGGCGAAGGGAGGCGTCGCCCGCCCCAGGTGACTCCGCTGCTAGGTGCAGGTGCCTGTCGAGGTTCCCGGCGTGCGCTCCGCCGCCGCTTCCTGCGCCGCCTCCTCGAGGGCGTCCGCCGCGGGCGGGACGTGCTCGCGGCGCGCGCGCGCCGCGGCGGTCGGTTCCGACCGCCTGCTTGGGCGGCGTCCACGGGCGGCGAGGCCCCCCAGGTGGCCGCAGATTGTGCACAGGAGTGCTCGCCACCACACAGCGAGGTCGAGGACGAGCTGCCGGTTTGCCCGCATGGGGCCAGCGGCGAGCCAGCCACGCACCGCCGCGCTGCGTGCCGCGGCGCCCGCCCAGCATGCCGCAAATTCCAGGCATGCCGGCAGCGCGGCCAGAGCTGGGCCCCAGTCCGCGCCCCGCCTCCACAGGACTGGTCGCGCGCGCCGCGGCGCGGGCGTCTCCACTGCGCCAGGGGGGCGGGCGACCAGGCACGCGTGATCCGCCAGGGCGCCCGGCGACCCGGGCTGGGCGGGCGCCATGGGCCACCCCAGGACTTCGCGGTCCAGGAGGAAGGAGGAGGAGGAGGAGAAAGAGAAGGAGGAGGAGGAGGAGGAGGCGGAGGAGGAGGCGGAGGAGGAGGCGGAGGAGGAGGAGGCGAAGGAGGAGGAGGAGGAGAAGGAGGAGGAGGAGGAGACGGATGATGATGAGGAGGAAGAGGAGGAGGAGCAGGGGGAGGAGGAGGAGGAGGAGGAGGAGGAGGAGGAGGAGGAATGCCACCGGGGCTCAGGCCATTTTGGCAGGGCGCAGGGCTCAGGCGCCGCGCCCCCCTCGCGATGCCTTCTCGCGAACGCCCCCGCGGCCAGTCCCGCGGCTGAGCATCAGGGGGCGCGCGCGACACGCGGCGCGCTCGGGGCGCCGCAGAGGCCCCCCCGAGCCGGCCTGGCACAAGAGGAAGCGGGCAGAGCGGGGGCGAGCTAGGCTGCTCCTCAGCGTGCTCCAGGCCAAGCGCCTCCTCGAGTCGCACCACAGCGCGATGGGGGGAGGCGCGTGGACATGCAGACAGTGCGGGGCCAGGAATCCGACCTCTTTGTGGACTTGCTCCTGCGGCAACGTGTGGGCCCCTCGCCCTGACCCCGCCAGGGGCCAGAAGAAGTCCGCCAGCATCAGGGAACTGATCGCGCAGATTCCAGTTGCAGCACCTGATGAAGCGATTGCCAACATCACGGTGTGGGAACCTCCGCCGCCAGAGGCGGGTGAACTGAATATCTACAAGTCGAAGGCCCAGTCTAAGCTCCAGAAGTTCGCAAACCTCCTCGTCGCGGTCCGTGACGCAGGGACGGGGGACTTTGCCCTGGAGTTCGACATCGGCGTGCTCAAGTACATGATGAGCGCCAGCAAGGGCTCGGAGAAGCAGCTGCATGAGCTGAAGGCCCAGCTCATCAGCGCCAAGGAGAGGCTCGGCAAGATCCGAACCAAGGTCGAGGAGCTACTGGGCGAGGAGGCGACGCTCTGCCTGATGGTGCAGAAGCTGCAGACCTCCATCCAGCAGCTCCGTGAAGCGGAGGACGCGCCAGATCATGATGCGGACTGGCTGATGGCCCCGCCAGGAGGAAGCGAGCGCGGCCTCAGGGCCGCCAGCGGCGCCCAGAGACCATGGGTGCAAGCGGCGGCCGAGAGGGCGACAGCGCAGGCAGAGGCAAAGGCCCAGTCAGCCAAGGCCGCGGCGGAGGCGATCGCGAACAGAGTGCCGCCGCCGCCGCCGCCAATGCCTAACCAGCCACCGCTGCAGAAGGTTCAGTACCGGCCGCCTCAGAACGCGGCCCCGCGCGCAGCCTCAGGGACGACGCGCGGCCAGGCAGCCGCAGCAGCAGCAGCGCCGACGGCGCCAGGGCCCGCCAGCCCCCGTGGCGCCAGGCCTAAGGGCCCGCGGGGTACGGGAGATGACGGCCCAACGGCAGCGGCCATCACTGCGATGACGGAGCAGATGAAGGCCGTGCAGGCCCAGCAGCAGGCCATCCAGGAGCACCTCTCGAGGATGCAGACGGGCCAGAACTTCCACGCCTTCGCCCTGGCCAGGGTCTTGGGAGTCGGCATCGGCGCAAAGGCAGGAGATGTGCTCATGGGCGCATAGATTATTCAGCAGGCACAGCGGGCAGTGATCACGGGGCTCCCGCCCCCCAGCACGAGCCCCCCTGACCATCAGGGGTTGGCGCCAGCGTGCACGCCGAGGGGCGCCGCCCCGACTGCGCCAGGTTTTGGCGCAGCCCCCCGAGGCTCCGCGCCAGCCATGGGGCCGAGGGCGCCTCCCCAGAGCAGCGCGAACATGGCGAAGATCGCCCAGGACCCGTACGGAGGCTCGGCACCATCGCGCTCGGCAGAGGGCCCTGTGGCAAAGACGCCGCCACCGAAGAGGCAGTCGGCATCGCCGACGCCAGCCAGAGCCCCCAACCTCGGCGCGGCAGCCGAGACGAGGGTCCAGGCCGAGGAGAAAGCGGCCCCAGACACCCCGAAGGCAAAGGGCGTTTCCAGAGTGACGGCGGAGCTGCAGAGGGTGGAGCCCAAGGAGGAGGCCATGCCGATCGGCCCCATGTTGTTGGTACCGACACAGCCAATGATGGCGGAGGAAATGATTCCAGGGCCAGTTCACCTCTTGCAGCACATCCATGGGGGCCTCCATCGACCTGGCCAGCCAGACGCAGCGCCCCCCCACGCCACCGCCAGCGCAGCGCTCGCCTGGGTCGCCAGTGGGCCCCCCGCAGCCAGCGCCTGTGACGCTGTTTCCCCCAGCCTGGGCAGCAGAATCGACGGCCGCGGCGCCGCCCCCGCAGGCAGCGGCAGCCCCCTCAGCGCCGGCCGCGGCGGCCTCGGCGGGACCGACGGCAGCGGCAGCGGCAGCAGCAGAGGAGGCACCTCCTGCGGCTTCGAGGACTCGACCGCTTGAGGAGGGAAACAAAGAGGAGAACGTATGGGGGCTCGCCCAACAGGCCCCCCCCCCCCAAGAAGATGCAGTGCCAGGGGTACGAGCTGGAAGACGGGTCCAACCTGTAAGCCCCAGCAGGGTCTCTTGGGGCCCAGTCGAAGTGAGGCGCTTTGACACGCATGCACCGGTAATTGTCCGACAAGCCAGAGGTACGCTTTCTCGGACTTGTTTCACTAGGCCGATTCTTAGGTCGGTCCCTGCCACGGATCTCTCGCCCAAGGGTCATGGTTATGAGAATTCGCAGACAGGCAATACCACCTCTTCGGCAGCCACTTCAGGTGATGCCATTGAGGACTCATCTTCATCTTCCAGTCGGCCCAACAGCCGGACGAGGTATCGCTTGCGGGGCAAGACCTCGAAGGGACATCTTTTTCAGCCTCGTCCTCGTGAATTGCAGCGCGCTGTGCCTGCTGAGCTAGGACACGAGGCAACCCAAACGTCAATGACAGTTGCGGTTGTGCCAGACCCACCTCCACCGCCGTCGCACCCCGCCCCGTCCAGGGAGCAGCTCGAAGCAGTTGCTGCACCTTTACCCCTTACTTATCCAGAATCCTGCAAGCAATGGCAGTGGTCATTGTGGTTTTCAGGAGGCGGACAGGATATATCAGGTTTTACTTCAGAACATCAACTGGCTTGAGCTTTGCAATGACGATTTGGGAGACATCCCGTTGCATCAAACTGCCAAGTTTGCTCTGGATATCTCAGCGCGCGGGGCACACAGAGCACGGTCAGTACATATCTATGTCGACGCCTCGTACAGAAAGACGCTCAGGGACTCGGCCTGGGCCCTCGCAGCTGTCGCGGTCTCGCCTGATGACACGGCGGGCTTCGTCGGATGGCAAAACATGTGCGCGCGGGAATCCACAGCTTTGCAGTTTGAAAAGGACGATATCACTAGCACGACTATCGAGCTCATGGGGATCTTGTGGAGTTTACTCTGGATCTTGGGTTTCTTCGGACCGAACACGGTGCATTCCCCCCAACATGGGTCATTTTTTGCGACAACCAGTCGGCTGTCAACATCTCCTTGGGTTTGGAGGTCCCGTCGGAGAACCTGCACCTGGCCTGGCTTACATGTCATGTGTACCAGTGCGCGCGCAGGAGACATGGTACTATGCTTGTGCATGTGCGTGGTCACTCTGGACATCCATGGAATGAGTTGGCTGACAGTTTAGCACGATCGGACCAAGCGGTTGGGTGTTCACCCCCGCCGGCCTTGCGCGAGGCTCTCAAATACACAAACGACCTCGAGTGGTGGTGGCTTAAGGAGGCACCGTTGACCACACGTGCTGCGTACCCATTAGGCCCAGATAACTCCTTTCGGTATCCTGGGCGTCCTCAAGTGTCGGTGGAGACGCTAAAGGAGACTGTCGACTCCCAACCCTCGCAGACGTCGGCCCCCAAATCCAGCCAGTTCAGCATCAGCTTGAGGTTCGCCACTTTCAACGTCGAGACGGGCAGGGATGCGGGGGCCACGGCTGCAGGACGCGCCAAAACATCGGGCGAGGCTATCAGGTTGCAGTTCGCACAGGAGCGCTGTCACAATGTTGGGGTCCAGGAGGCGCGAAATCCATCGGGGGAAAGATGCTCTGCTGGTTACTTTGTGCTTTCCTCGGGATCTGATAGTGGCAAAAACGGTGGCGTGGAGCTCTGGGCCTCATTGCACCCACCCTACGGGCGACGCGGGGGGGAAGACCTGTACTTTGAATAGGAACATTTTAGGCCGCTGTATGCTACCCAGAGGCTCTTGGTGGTTGGCTGTTGTGCCACACTTTTTCGGAAGGTCATATTAGTTGCCCATGCGCTGCGCAATGGGGGCGAATATACCCCTCAGCAGCGGAAGCAGTGGTGGCGGGACCTCATTGGGATCTGCCGCAAGTGGAAAGTTCAGTTGGCTTTCCTGGACGCGAATGCCAGACTCGGAAGCATCGTGTCGGACGCAGTGGGAAGGGAGGGATTCAGGCAGGACGAGGACGAGTCGGGAGGGTTGTTTCACGACGTGCTCCTGGAGACGGGGATGGCCGCCGCCAACGCACTCGCCCCCTCCCTTAACCAGGACTCTTACACGTTCGTCACGTCTTAGTCCGAGACCCCACATAGAATTGACTACATAGCGGTTGAGCAGAGCATGATTCCCGCCCTAGACCAGCACCAGGTTCGATATGACATCGATTCCTTCTGCACTGGCAAAGATCATAACCCTGTCTTTTTGCGCTTCGAGTCCCAGGGCTCCACCAAGGCGGCGCAGGGGCAGCTTGGTTTCGACGTGTTGGGCACCCAGGACCCTGATAAGGCAGCAGCTTTCAGGATGCACTTGGCAGCTTTCCCCACGGTGCCCCACCAGGTTGACATGAATCAGCAATTGCACGACATTATCCAATACATGTACGTGGGTGCCCAAACTTGCTTCCCTAAACCTGCACGGGCCCCGATCAAGCCGTACGTTTCTGAGGATCTTCTTGGGGTAATTGTTTTCAGGAGGCAGGTGCGGCAGGCCGGTTGTCTCTGGGGCAAGCAGGACTCTTGCGGTGTTAGGAGGCTGGTCGCCGCGTCGCTTGAGGCGAGGGGCCCCCGGAACATCGCAGATCTCGAGTTGGACTTCTTGGTTTCGGAGTTGTTTCAGGCCTTCGTCTCACGGGGCACTCAGAGGATGACGGTGAGCGAGCTCACCGAGCACATGATTGGTTTCTTGGTCAAGTCGAAGCCGGCCTTGAGAAGGGCCTTGAAGCACTCTCGCAATAGGCTGCTAGACGACCTCGCGCAGCAGATGTGCAGCGCCAGGTCTTCCCATGAGAGTCGCGTGGAATGGAAGGTGTTGTGCCAGCTGCAAAGATTCGGGGGGAAGCGCTCCAGGTTCCAGGTCGAGGGGTTGAGAATCCGCCGTGGTCCTCAGGGCGAAGTTCTGGCCACTTCTGGAGATCTCCCGGAGGCCCTCACGGACTACTTTGCTGTAGTTGAGAACGGGCAGACACTCAGCTGGGAGGAACTAGTGGACCGCTACAGGGCCCTCGCCGAGCGAGGAAACGTCTACCCCAGGGAGTTGGACATGGTCACCCCCTTTCGCAGACTCAAGTATGACATCATGAGGGCAGCCAAAAGGAGAGGAGCTGGATCAGATAGGCTCAGCAACGGTCTCTTCCGGGTCGCTCCACACGAGTGCACTCAGATCTTGTTGCCGCGTTTCGTGAAGATAGATATGACGTCCAGGGAGCCCCTGCTGTTCAAAGGAGGTTGGCAATGCGATCTACACAAATCTGGATCCCCTGATCCCCTGGGGACTACTATAGAGGCATCCTGCTAGGCTGTCACACGGCGAAGTTGCACCATGCCTTCCTCAGAAGCAAATTGTTAGAAGCTTCGTTGCACATGTTGTCGGTGGTCCAGCAGGGTGGTCTCCCTCAGCGCGGCATTGACGTTGCATCCTTGCACCTTCGATCGGCCATGTTGGCAGCCAAAGCTAGGAAGCGCGCGTACCTGTCGTTGTACACGGATTTGAAGGCGGCATTCTACTCGGTCGTTCGAGGGTTTGTCGCCAGAATGGCCCAGAACAGTGAGGACATTCTGAACACGTTGACGGACTTAGAGGTGCCAAGATGTCTCGAGCCACTTTGCCATGCCCTCGTCGCCAAGCCTGGCGCCCTGGACGCGCTCGAAAATAAGCACCCCTTGGAAGCGGTGGTTGACGTGATGGAGTGTAACTGGTTCCAAGTACGGGGGAGCACCAGGGTTGTCCCCCCCCGCCTAGGCACGAGGCCAGGCATGCCACTAGCGGACCTCCTGTTCATCATAGCCTTCGACCCTATCATAGTTGCGGTCAATAATAGACTAGGCGCTCTGGGATATCTCCAGAAGACCAGGGATGTGGACCCGTCCCAGAGAATCTTCAGAAGTCGTGAGCTCGAGCATGCAGAAGAGGATGTATGGGACCTCGCCTTCATGGATGACCTCGTCAATGGCATCGAGCTGTTAGACGCTAGGTTCTGGAAGGAGGCTGCCATGTCGCTGGTTACGGTTATGTATGAAGAAACCAAGTCTAGGGGGCTCACCATGAACTGGAAGGCGGGCAAGACGGAGCTCATGGCCTACTTCAGCGGCACAGGTTCCAGGAAGGCCCGAGGGGAGTGTGCGGCCCTGGCTGCCGCAGGTCTCCTCGTTCCTTCCTTCGGTGTCTCCCTGTGCCTCACTAGGACCTATAAGCACTAGGGCAGTTATCAGGATCATCAAATCTCAAAGCAAGTTAATTTTAAAGCCAGGCTAATTTATGTTACCTCTTTGTGCACTTCGCACCTTTTGTTTAACGCCCTTACTTGGCACAGGCTAAATGCCAAACAGTTGGCGACCCTGGCGCACAATCATTTGAGCCCGTTTCGGTTGGCGGCCGGACTCGGCTACGATTCCACCGCAGGAAAGGCGGCTGCGGACCACAGGGTCTATGTCACATGCGAGCTCATGCCCATTGAGTTGGTTTTGAGGCTTAGGCGGCTGCGTTTTCTTCCCAGGCTTCTCAAGTATGCGCCGGCTTGCATGCTGGCGATCCTCGACGAGTTAGCTTCAGTGCCCGAATCGTGATGTGCATTGTGTTGCGATGACCTCTTGTGGCTCAGCAGACATGCGAATCTAGCCAGAGAGTTCCAGCCCTCGGGCCCCCCTGCGTGGTGGTTGTGGCTCCTGAGGTCCAGTAGTAAAAAGTTGGATGCGAATTTGCAAGCAAGCGGAATCTGAAGCTAGGGCTAAGTTTTTGGACGATCAGCGTCGCGAAGAATTCAGTGACGGGTGGCGGAGGTGCTGTATCTCCAAGGGTCTTGCGCTCCCGCCGTCTCTTCGTTCGCCGCCCGCCCTTGCCTTGTATCCTTGCCTGGATTGTGGGGCAGTGTTGGCCACCAAGGGCGCATGGGCCTCCCATCGCTCGAAGTGCCACCCCCACTTAGACCCCGCCCCCAGCTGCGTGTCAGGTGCCGTGTGCATGGCATGCGGACTCAACTTTCACACGCGCTTCAGATTGCTCAAACACGTTCGGCGCGGCTCGTCGAGGTGCCTGGCGGACCTTATGGCCGTTCTCCCCCCGTCGAGCCCCGAACACGTGATGCAGGCCAGGGCTGAGGGCGCGGGGCTAGCTCGCACGCTCCGTGGGAAAGGCCACTATGCGGAGTCAGCTCAGCTGCCGCCTGTCCTCACGGTAGGCCCCTGGCTGAGGGGGGCGGCTGCTTCCAGGGGCCTTCCCTCAATCATGCCGAGAGTATCTTGTCGACCCGTGTGTATCCAGGAAGAGGTACCCACCCAGGCGGTAGTCCACCTGCCCACGCCCCCTGGCACTAAGTACATTATGATTCCCCGTGCAGCGCCCAGGAGTCCAGGTGACATCCAGGACGCAGCGGAGAGTTCCAGTGCCATGGCGGGGCTGCATGCTTTTGTTCTGTCATTACATATCCTCGAATTTTCCAGAATAGCATCGAGGGATTTCGCAAGGAGCTGCTGTTCATTACCAATTTAATCCTGTCTGGTCGCGTTGTTGGTCTCTTGGCAGACCCCCCTCTAACCTCGTGGGACCCCGCCCCCCGCTGCAAAGCCAAGGGTGGGGAAAGCAGGCCTTTAAGGAGCTGCGATGAGCCGTGGGGGATTTCAGCTAGGTCGCCCTCGGAGTGGAGGCAGCTAGAGCTCGACAGTGCGTGCCTTCGTGCGGCGCTCCTCGGGCCTGGCGACCTTGCTCACTTTAAACCCACCTGCTCCGCAAGCCCACATGCCCTGTGTATGGAAAGTCCCCGAGGTCAGGTTCCTGCGCTCCCTGTCGGCACTGTCTCCGACACTCACGTCGAGCTGTATGCCAATCGGGGACCGTCAGTGCCTGTTCTTGAATGCCGTACCGACTTTGGCCCCTCCTGACAGCAGCCAGGTTGAGTTCTACCTTGCTGCTGTCATCACCCAGGCCGCCTCGCAACGCTGTGCCCCCACGCCTCCTGGGGATGCATGGTTAGAGGCGTCAGCTGCCCATCTCTATGCCCCGCTCGATCCATTTTGCGAGTCGGGTTGATGTTGGCCATTGCTGCTGTTTTTGTCCCCCGCTATACTTGCCGCCCTTCTCACCGCTGACGTATGCATGAGTGGACACCTCAGACGTTGGTCTTCAGGGCTGTGGGAAGAAGAAGGAGGAGGAGGAGGAGGAGGAGGAGGAGGAGGAGGAGGAGGAGGAGGAGCGTCCCAGAGAGTGGGGTCGGTCGAAAGAGGGGGGGGTAGGGAAGTGGGAGGGGGGTACGACACCTGCTGCATGCAGCTGGCTTCGGACTCAACTCCTGGCGCTCCCATCCATCGGTTCACGCCTCTGGTGCCGGGAGGCGGCTCGCTAACGCCCCCAGAGCGGGCCTCACCTGCGGCGCATCTCGCCGTCTGCGGAAGCCAGCGGAGGGCGGCGGAAGTGAAACGGCGGCGAAGTCCGCCGGCGAAAGACGGCGGGAGGTCGGCGAAAGCAAAGGTGAGACGTCAGCATTTCGGGGTTCAGGGTGTCCGGAGTCGACCGCATGGGCGTTGGCCGAAATAAATGTTGGTCGATTCCCGCCGGACTGGCACACTGCGGTCAGCGCTTCGGGGGAGCACGCCGATTTCGGTCATGTCGGGGGCCCCCGAGGGGCCCCACATCCCTGTGTTCCCCGCGGTCGCCCTTGCGAAAATCAGGAGGGAACAAGAACACACAGACACAATTCATCGTCGATTTCCCCGAAAAATGAGAAAATATGGGAAGGGGGGAAAACGAACATCCCAAAAACATGGCAAAATATGGGGAATCCTAGGATTTGTGAATTGATTTGTGTGTGTGTCCCTGGGGCCCTTCACAAAACGCCGACGTCGAGAGTTCATGCTCGCACGAGCATGCACCGATCCTGGCCAGGGGCCCATCATATGAGCCCAGGATCGGTGGTAGGCGCCCCCCTGGCCAACAGGCAGGAGAGCGCCCCTGCACCGATCCTGCAGGCTCAGGAGACTTGCCTGGCAAGGATCGGTACATGGGGCGTTTCAAAACGGACATTGCCCTCGAGGATCGAGGGAGTTGTCATCTCTTCCGCCGCGGAAGGCGGCGGAAGGGCGGCGGAAGGCGGCGGACGTAAAGCATGCGCCCCCAAGAGATGAAACCATTTTGGGGTCCAGGGTTTCCGAAATCCGTCGCATGTGCGCAGTTCTCTTCCTCCTGACAGGCGAAGACGGGCGGCCACCCAGGATCGAGGACCAAGAAACTGCATAGAGGCATAAGCTGCCTGAGGTCCGCGCAGGGTTCTTGGGTCGGCGCTACTCCTCCTCCTCCTCTTCCTCCTCCTGCACCCCCTGCCAGTGCCTCCAGCTCGGCCCCTGGCGCGCTCCTGCGCGCTGAGGAGCGTGGGTGTGGTGAGTGGGACCCTGCGCCACCTTCGAAGAAGCCCGCGCGGACCCCCGAGAGGGTACTCTGGCTGGGATATCAATCGATGGAGCTTGCCCATCCCCCCCCCCTCCTCCACCTCCTCCTCCCTCCTCCTTCTCCTCCTCCTCCTCCTCCTCCTCCTCCTCCCCCTCCTCTCCTCCTCCTCTTCCTCCTCCTCCTCCTCTCACACGGTCCCCTCCTCCTCCCCTACCTCCTCCTCCTCCTCCTCCTCCTCCTCCACCTCCTCCTCCTCCTCCTCCTCCTCCTCCTCCTCCTCCTCCTCCTCCTCCTCCTCCAACCCCTCCTCCACCCGTACCGACAGCACGTGCCCAACCCCCCAGCGGGTCTGGGGGGGGAGCGATGATTGTCCCATCCAGAGTCATTGTTCTTCTGCAGGAGGCGAAGCAGGTCGCGCTCGCGACGGACTCCGCGATCAGGGCGTTCGGCGTGCTCGTCAGGCACCAGGAGTCCACGCTCGGGGCCGATGCTGCCCAGGGCTGGGGGCTGTGGTTGACCAACCTGCCGCTGAGATGTGACCACGAGGAGGGCCAGAAGGCACACCAGCAGCTCCAGAAGGGGGAGGAGGAGGAGGAGGAGGAGGAGGAGGAGGAGGAGGAGGAGGAGGAGGAGGAGGAGGAGGAGGAATGAGAAGGCACACCAGCAGCTCCTGGAGCTCGTGGTCGCGAGCCACCCTGTCATCACGGCCCCGGGCAACCTCCCGAGAGTCCTGGGCATCTTCGCAGACGTCTACAAGACAAAGTTTTCCTGCAAGGATCTGGACGCGGGCATCGTCGAGGTCGCCCGCCGCGCCAACGAGTCGATGCAGGGCGTCGCCGCCAGCTTGTCGGAGAAGCAGCAGAAGAAGCTGGCGCAGGTGCGGCAGACCCCTCCGTTGTACGATGGGTTCGTGTCGTGTCGACGCGACGGCGACCCCGCCGCGGGCGTTCCAGGTTGAGCACCTCCGCTGGCCCGGGATCGGCAGGCGTGGAACGATTTGGCGATCGAGCAGCCGCCGATCGCTCCAAGGTCGAACGATCCACGCGGCGTCAGAAGCCTACGCCGGGGTCAAGACACGAGCCTGCCGTACCCACCAGTGCAGTGCGACCCCTCCACTCCTTCTCTCCCTCTTTGGGGAGGGGGGGTGTTCAGAAGGTCTGGAGGAGAGGACTTGGACGGCAGGTTCACGCAGCGTCGATGCGGCGGCGACGCCAGCGCGGGCGCTCGAGATTGGAGGGCTGCGGCGGCCTGAACCGGGCCGCCCCTGAATGATCCCCGCCGTCGGATTAGCGGGGGGCGCTCCAGGCTGAACGATCTGCGCGGTGCCAGAAGCCAGCGCTCACGTCGGTACTGCAGGAACCCAGACATCCGGCTGCTATAATTTTCTCGATGCCTGGGGCCCCCGGAGGCCGATAATGGCCAAAACTGACTGCTCCAATTTTTGTTCGGAGCGTCGGATCTCTAGGGACCGGCCATTGTCGTTGCGGGGGTCTCCTGCAGGCGGCGAAGGACGGAGGGCGAGCGCAGTGACTCGGGCCACTGCTGCCGTAAGCCCCCCCGGGCTTCCTCTCCCAGGAGCGCGCTCTTCTCCCTCTGCGTGGGCAGAGGCCGGTCGGGCTCGGAGGAGGCGGAGGCCTGTCTGTGAGGTTGGTTCTTGTAGAATTGGCGTGCCCAGAATAGGGGAACGAACGATGACATAAACATAAAAACTCTGAGGTCCGCGCGGATTTCTCGGATCGGCGCTGGACCCCCCTCCCTAGCGCGCGGAGCGCGCCAGGGGCGGCGCCGGAGGCGCCGCCGGGGGGCCCCAGCGCCGATCCGAGAAATCCGCGCGGACCTCCGAGTTTTTATGTTTATGTCACTTTTTGTTCCCCTACAGAAGCAGATCTGCGTGCGCCTATGTCTACGACTGTTTGGTAGGAGCCTTTCCGTAGGAGCTGGGCTCGGCCACATCGTGGCGTGAGCTTGGGGGAAAAAAGTGCAGGCAGCAGCGATTCCTCGTCTCGTCCTTCATCTCAGTTCTCGCACGGGCATGTGCTGGGGGACGGGGGACACCAAACGATCGTCGGCCTCAAGCTCTCCCCATGTCAGTCCAGGGAGAATGGTCGCCCGGAACGCCCCAAATCGTCTCATGGGCCTCCCGGAGGGGCCTCCGACTGCTCAACAATCTGCCAGGCGGCCTCCGTCTGTCAAATTGTTGGGCCTCCGCAGGCCCAACAATTTGGCAGACGCCCCAGAGCCGACCACAAGCATACCAGCATTGCCCCAAGGTGGGCCCCAGGGCGGCGTCAATGTTGCCCCGAGAGGGCCCCTGCACAGGGCGAGGCTTGTCAGAAGTCGCGGACCCTGTCGGCATGTGCGAGGGTGTTTCAATCGAGGCTGCCCCTTTTTCAATCGTGGCCAGCCCAGGCCCTCCTCCCGGGGCTCACCAGCCCGCAGGAGATCCAGCCCAGCTGCATCGCCATCGCCGCAAACAGACATCGCAGCCGCGTCAAGTGGAAGCCATGGGGTGGTCCCGCGGGGTGGTCCTGGGTTGTGGGCCCTGGGGGTGGTCCCAGGGAGGGCTCTACAGTCGGCGGCCTAAGAAGGAACTCTTTTCGCTGGGGATGGGGCTCAGTGTTCCTTCTTTTTTGTTGCACTTGCTCGTAGGTCTTCCCCAGGTCTTCTATGGGAAGCCGAAGTTCAACTTATGGGAAGACGGGCCTCGCTACCCATGTAGGGTCCCTTATGACAGCGTTTCGATTGTAGGGGGGTGAAACCGTCCCCTCTAAGGATTGACTGGGGCGATCCCGGGTCCGCTTTGGCCATCTTTGGGTCACGAAGGACTGACAGCGCCCTCCCGGGACCAACCTCGACCCATTTCGGCGACCTTCGGGGTTTGTCGGGCCGTCTTGCAGGCTGTGGGGCCAGTCAAAGGATGCCAAATCCTCTGAATCTGTTTCGTTATGTTTGAGTGCGATCGTTCTCGCCGTTTCGGTCGTCCCAGACAGCCCAAGAAGCCCCCCAGACTGGCTGGCCTAAGACGGCCCACTGAAAGGCCCCTAGGGGGGGCCCAAGAAGCCTCCCAAGAGACCACCTCAATGCTTCAACATGCCTGTGGAGTGCGATCCAGGCGCGATGGCGGAGCCATTTTGCCAAAGGCCACGCGATCTCCTTTCACGCATGAAGCCTTCTACTACCCCCATGTGCCCTTCCGCTTCTTATACCAAAGCGATTCTCTTTCCAGGGTCGGCGGGACCTGGCGCGAGCCCTGGACCAACTGATACCGTAGCCCCCCCCGCATTTGCGGATACGAGCGAGGGTGCGGGTGGGTCGTCGGCAGTTTACGGGGAAGGAGGTCCGAAAGAGCCAGCCGCAGGCGCCGAGTCTGCAACACATTACACAGCGAGTCTGCCGCAAGCGCAGATTTTGTCAGAGAAACGTGGCTGGGCCGTGAGCAGGTCCCGGGGCAGGTCGCGGGTGAGTCCTGGGGCAGGTCGCGGGTGGGTCGCGGTTGTGAGGACGAGAGCAAGCAGCAAGCGAAAAACATCAAGTAGAGCCCACACCGCGGCATCGCATTTCAGCCACGTGGGCAGGGACGGTGTCCAACGGGTCGGACCCCTCTCCCCAACGTGTTTATCACCAGACTTTGCAGCTCGGAGTATTCGCGAGCGCCCCAATGGCGCACAGTAACACCTCAGACAGGCCCATGGTGCCCTGGTACGGCCTAGGATGGCTCCCCGCGCGGCCCCAAGACAGCGCCAGCTGTGCCCCAGTCGCCCGAAGACGCCCAGTGCAAGACCCCCGAATTGGCTCCCTGGTGATCGTTCTTTGAGTCCTTGCTTTGCGGATCGGCGCGGG